CCGTTGTCCCGGCTCCCCTGTGGGGAAGCAGTCTGCTGTCTAGGCCTTCGTACTTGGGCTGCTCTTGCTTTTCTAGGGCTGCTTCTGTTGGCCTTTGGCCTGCTTCAACCCAGCTTCCAGGGAGGCCCAGTTCTGGCAACCACCATGAGGTGCTGCTTGGAATTCTGGTGGCAGCATATTGGGACCCTCTCTCCGTTCTGGAAGAGCCTGAAGAAAGGTCAGGAGGAGATCACTTCTGGTGGGCTTTGGGTGGGACCAACGTGCTCCTGGCCAGAAGCAGGGTCCTGGGGGAGGTAGAGTCAGGTGTGGACAAGGGCTCTGCTCTGGCTATTTGGCTTTCTCGCCTTTGGGAGTGGGCTGGGGGCTGCCTGGTGGACACTGGTAGGAACTCATACACAGGTCTTTGTCAGGGGCGCCGGATCCCGGAGCGGGGACGGCTGGATCTGAACCAGAGTGGTAAGTGGATATACTGTCTGGGTGCTCCAGAACATGCCTGGGTCCCACGTGGTACGGACCGGCCTCTCTGAAAGCCTGCAGAATGGGGAGCAGAGCAGGCCTGGGTCCCACGTGGCAATGGACTGGCCTCTCTGGAAGCCTGTGGGAGGGGGAGCTGGGTGTACTCCCATCTGATTATAGGATGGCTTGACCTGAGCGCATGTAGGTGCAGGGTAGGCAAGTGACTGTCTTGAGTTCTCAGTGACTGGAACTTAATTCATCTTGTGGTTTCACCTTAACACTTGTCTTTTATTTCAGGAGACTCACAGGTTTGTTTTGTGTGCGTTTTCACTTTTTCTGGGATGGTGGAGGTGTAACCCAAGGATTTAGCTCTGTCTGGGGCCTGGAGTCTCAGGGGTTTGCTTCTTCCACCTGTAGAATATACATATGTGAGTGCGCGTATGTGTATGCATGAGTGTGCTGTATGTATGTGCGATGTACATGTATATATGCAAGTGTGCATGTGAGTGTGGTGTATATTTGAGTGTGTGGTGTATATATGTGTGTATGTGTATGAACACGTGTACTTGTGATATATGAGTGTGTGTGTGGGCATGGTGTATATGTGAGTGTGTGGTGTATGTGTATGTGTGAGCATGTATAAATATGAGAGTGTGTGTGCCGTGTGAGCATGGTACATATGAATAGGTGTGTACATATGTGTATATGTGAGTGTGGTATATATAGTGAGGGTGTCTATGTGAAAATGTGTATGTGTGAGGATGAGCATATGCATCATGTCTGAATGTGGTGTATATGAGTATGTGGGAGTGTGTGCAGGTGAACGTGTGTATGTGTGTGAATATGAGCGTGTATGTGTTACGTGTGGTGTATATGAGCAGGAGTGTGCATGAGTGAGTTTGTGTGAGTTTGTTGTATATGTATTTGTGTGAGCCTGTTATGTGTATGTGTGTGAATACGAGAGTGTATTATTGTGTTTGTGTGGTGTACATGAATATGTGAGTGTTTCTATGTGTGAGTGTGTGTGTGCTGTATGTATGTGTAGATATATGCGGGAGTGTGAATGTGAAAAACGTATGAGTGTACCTGTGAGCATATATGTACGTATCATGCGCGTGTGAGTATATGTTATTGTGTTGTGTGTGTAAGGGTATATGTAACATTGTGTTGTGTGTGTGGGAGTATATGTTATTGTGTTGTGTGTGTGAGGGTATATGTAACATTGTGTTGTGTGTGTGAGAGTAGATGTACCATTGTTGTGCATATGTTAGTGTATGTATCGTGTGTGTTAGTGTGACTGTATATGTATGAGAATGATTGTATATACGTGAAAACATGTATGCATGAGCTTGTGTGAGTACATGTGAATATGCTAGTGAACGTATGATGTGAGTGTGTTCACCATGGACGAAGGTGCGCACCTTCGTGTGGGTCCTGACCTGGTTTCAGGAAGTCCTCTTGTTGCTCCTGCCCTGTGAGTTGACCCTGAGCTGCAGGCTAGCCATCCACCCTCATTTGCATGGGGGACCCTTCTAGGATGAGCAGCCTGCCATCATGGATGTGGCCCCCTCCCATCATCCTGTGCCCCCACCTTTTTATGAGTTCACTCAAAGGGCTTTGGGGACTCGAAGAATGCCATTTGGCATTGGAAGTTGGCTTTAGTAAAAAAGGCCCTTGAAGATTGTAGCTTGCTGTCCTTGACACCCCCTCCTTTGGCCCCACTGAATAGATGGGAAAACAGGCCCCAGGTCACTTGGCACCCCAGGGTTGGGGCTTGGGAGCAAGTCATTGTGCCTTGAGTGTAGGGCCTGCAGTGATGGGGTAGTTAGGGGATGAGGAGTCCTTGACCTTGGAGATACAGGGGCTGTGTTGGGGCAGCACCCTAGGATACGCAGATGGCTCCGGGAGCTACTGTTTCGGTGACTGTTTGGGAGTGTACATTGCTGAGGTGCAGATGGAGTGGTTCAGGGTGAGAGGCCAGAGGCCAGTGGGGGGACAGTCCTGGCTCTGTACCCTAGCTTGCTCTGAGGCTACCAGTCTGTGACCCGTCTTCTCCAAGTCTTGCTTCCCCCTGTTGGTCTAAATAAGTGACAGATCTTCAGGGATGGAACACTTGGGTCTGAGTGACAGAGATGGGCAAACAATCTTGGGTGGCTTGTGTCCATTAAGTGCCATTGGTAGGTAGGGCTGCCGGGCCCCTGACCTTGAACCTCAGGATCCTGACCATGATCTTTGGGGGCTGCTGTCAGGGGTAGATGGTTTAGAATCCAGACAGAAGAAGGCACCTAGGGCATAGGGCTGTCCGTGGTGGGACACAGCTGAGCTCCCAGTGCTTGGTGGGTGGAGGCTCTGGGTGGGGACCCCGTCTGTGCTATGTGAACCAGGTACATGTTGAAGTGTGTGGAGTGGTCCAGGAACCCTGGACCTGGGGAGAACTCAGGAGTCAGTGAGGGAAATGGCGGTCCAAGGCCATGGTGGGAGGGCTGTGCTGTGAGGGAGGGGCTAGTTAGCCCCTATCCTTTGAACCCAGAGACCTGACGTCATCTTAGAGTGCCTGGTCAAGCATCAGACCTGATGATTAATATGTAGGGTCCAACTAAGATCCGAGGTCCTGCTGAGAGTGGGGTGGTCCACATCACTTCTGCTCTGCCTCATTGCAGAGCTCTCCCTCCCCCAGTTCAGGTGGCCTTCCCTGGAGGTGGGGTTGAGAAACAGGCCCTGGGCCGGGCTTCTGAGTGTACTTCTGAGTGTGTGCGCGTAGGATGTTCTTGTGCAGCTCGGTGGTCTGTGTGAGTGGAGAGTGAAGGCAATAAGCCCCTATGTTCTTCAGGGGAAGCCCCTCCCCAAGACCTCACTCCCTGAGGCCCTGGGTGACATTCCTCTGAAATGGAGGCTGCGGACTTCTCCCTGGGTCTTGTGGGACATTTGCTTCCGACCAGGCCTCCTTGGCACCCATGTCCTCTGAGTTGGAAGTGGAGACCCACCTGCCTTTTACCCATGAGAACATCCCCCAGGCAAAGTGGGGCTGCGGGTCACTGGATGTCTTCCTCTAGGCCCTCAGGAAGGACTGATCCCTGTGTTTTACCTCCTTGTCTTCCCCACGTGCTTCTGGGGAGATGGATATTAGAGGTCAGCATCCGTGGAGGTAGAACATCCCTAAGGTAGAGGGGGCACTCCTAGTCGTATCTCTGGGGTGACAGGTGACCACTTTGTGAACAGTCTTCCAATTGTCTGCTAGTTCTAAGAAGTTTTGGAGTCTTGGTGTGGCGTTGTGTGTTAATACACAGGACTGCAAAGTCTGTTTGAACCTCAAGGTTGGCGGTTCTTGCTACCTGCTGCTCCTAGGAAACCCTATACAGGGTCACTGTGGGTTGGAACTGACTCTAAGGCACTTGCCAACGATAACAACAAGTAAGAAGTTTCAGTTTAGTGGAGCCCAACACTGGCTTCTGAGAGCCAAGCCCTTCCTACCCCAGCCCAAGGGCTCCCGTCACCCCACTCCTCCTCAACACCACCTTTGCAGAACAAACCAGAAAAGATGCATATCCTTTTGTTTTTCTTTATTTAAGGGGAGGGGTGTATAAGCGAAAAGGGGTGAGAAAGCGAAGAGAGGAAAAGGATTCTCCTTCCCTGGAAAAGAGCAGCTGTCTGGTCAGGACATGTCAGCCACTCTCAGTCAGCTGTCGCTGACATGTCACCGGAGTCTCTCATAGCCCCCTCCCCTTGATCCCAGGGCCTGGGCCCCGGGGCCTCTCCATGTTGTGGGGGGGAGAGCAAGCCCCCTCAAGGGCAGTCACCCCATTCAGTGTCCTTTGGCCTCTGGGTCCCCAGTGTGTCCGGTAAGTGACATGTCCACTGGTACGTCGGGACCGTCTTGGCACGGCAGCACCCAGGTGAGCTTTCTGGTCATCTTTCTCAGTCTAAGAGTCTAGAGCAGGGTCAGAGCTGAACCAGATGGTGGGAGGGCGGCTTGCTTCGCAGGGTGGGCTGGGGCGGGAGACACGGCACACCACGAGACTTGGGTGGCGGGCGGGGGGAGTCGGGAGCCCAGGGGAGCCAAGGACTGGTTAACCAGGACCAGGAGCACCGATGATGGAGGTAGAAGAAGTCAGCGGAGCACCCAAGGTCAGCATCCCAGGATGTCACAGAGGGGACAGCACCTCTGGCCCCTGCTTGCTTGGCTTCCGTCTGTTGTGCCTGCTTCTTCACCTGGCCTGGGGTCATGGGCTCATCCTCTGTTCACCTGTGCTTTCTCCTCTCATTGTTCACACTCCCAGTTGTGGGCCTGGGACCTGGAGAATTAAGACGGTGGGATTGTGTGCAGCCCTGAGACTAGCTCTGGGTTTCTGATGGTCCATGGTCCATAGGTTTTGATGATATTGCTGGTGGGTGATGAATTGCCCTTCACGAGTGGGGTCCCCTGGGGCCAGGAGTGGCAGGGAGGGGACTCTGGGTCAGCGTTAAGCAGGCGGAGGCACTAGGAGGTGTGGAGGAGACACTGGATGTGTGGGGGCGGAGGAGGCACCTCTGGAGAGCAGGTGTTCTCAGACCTGGTCTCTGTCCTCATGGCTGTTGGGTGGTTCTTCTAGGTTGTCCCCATCCCTCGGTGGGCTGGCCCGCACAGTGCTGGGGGCAGCCTGGGCTCGCGCCATTCTCAGAAAGCGAATCAGGAGCCTGGCCACTAGTCCCCGGGTGAGCAGGGCTGGCCGCCGTTCGGTGGCTCGTGTGTCGCGCAGAAAAGCGAGGACAGCGGGGTGGGCCTGACTGTGTCGTGGCGTGGGGAGGGCCACAGTGGCGGCAGTGGCCATGACGGCGTCCCTCGGCTGGGCCTCTTGCACAGCGTTCTCCTGATCGTCCTGCGGGCTGTCTTGCAGGCCGTCATGCAGGCCACCTTGACGGTAACGTTGCAGGTCGCCCTGCTGGGCTTCTCGCAAGATGACATTCTCATCATCAACGATGTGCAATTCCAGGGAGCGTTGCTCACGTGGAGCCGGGTGCCTTTCATCTCCGGGGGTGACGCTGACACCGAAGAACTCACACAGCAGCAGCCAGAAGTTGGGGGTCAGCTGCAGGCCTTGGTGGGCCTGGGGGAGCAGGGCGTTGCGCTGCCAGTGGCCAGGGCCCAGAAAGAGTTGAGGCCGCTCTCTGACTGGGAGAGTGTTGGCGACCACAAGAGGTGGCGTCCGGATGAGGAGCTCGGCGATGGCGTTGGCCATGCCACGGTTGGTGATCAGGGACGAGTCCAGGATGAGGCACAGTGGGCGCCCGGGTCCGGGCTGAGCCACTAGTGGGTTTGGCGCGGTCATCTGCAGGAGGCGTGGCCTCAACTTCAGCATCAGGAGAATGGTGGCTAGGGCTAGGTTGCTCTTCCAGAGCAGAAGGCTCCGTAAGAAGTGCAGAACGACCGCCCTCACCTGGACAGCACCAAACTGGAGGAGGAAGGTGTTGACTATTTGGTCTATTGGCAGCAGAGCCACTCGTGTCTGCTGGGAATCCTGCTCACCTGGGTGCTGGGCGTCACCGTTCTCCCCTTCTTGACTGAATGCCGATGCCAGGTCACCCTGAGAGTCTCTCCTGAATAGCAACAGGTGCTGAGAGAAGGTTTCGGGGTGGAAGGCACCGGGGCGGTGGCCCCTGTGGGGCAGCCGCACCCGGTGGCCATCTTGGGTTGGCCATTCCATGACGTCAAAGTTGAAGTGAGAAAAGAAGAAGACCCAATGCCCGGGGAGAAGTACGGTGAGCCTGTCATTATTCAGAGAGGCTAGATCCTCTGTGTTGAGAAGGATCATGATGGGCTCCTCGGTGTTCTCCAGGTAGCGACACCACACCGTGAAGGCAGCCCGTATGGGGAGGATCCTCATCTCCAGCTGAGAGTAGTCGTCTTCGATAGGGGAAATGTTGCGCGAGTAGAAAGCACAGTAGACCTTCTTGCCGGTCTGTTCATCCACTTGGATCAGGGCGGCGTGCAGGGACGTCTTGGTAACGCCGGTCTCCAAGAAGAAGGGGTTCTGGGGTTTGGGATGGTGCAGAAGGGGCGCCTTCCGGAAAGCCCTCTTCAGACACTCGAAGGCTTCTTGCTCCTCATCACCCCAGTAGAAGCCCCGGTGGTAGAGCAGCTGTCGCAGGAGGGGCTCAATGATGATGATGAAGCGCTCCACAAAGTGTCGGTAGGGGAAGATGAATTCGATCAGGTGTCGCAGGGACTTTTTGGAGCCAGGGATGGGGTACCCTGTCACGGTGGTGACAAGACTCTTGTTGAGCTTCACTCCTTTGGGAGTGATGACAAATCCTAGGAATTCGATGGTATTTCGGTGGAACTGGCTCTTTTCCAGGGAGCAGTAGATGTTGTGCCGCCGGAAGCGGACCAAGACTTGGCGGACATGGTGAGGATGTTCCTCTTGGCTCATTGAGTAGATCACGACGTCCTGCCCATAGGTGATCACAAAGTAACCTAGCATGCCCTTGAGGATGCAGTGAATGACACTCTGGGGTACAACAGGGTCTGAGGAGATCTCAAAAGGCTGGTAGCTGTCCATCTCTTGATACTCCAACCCAAATGCTGCTCTCCATACATCTTCTGCTTGGTGTATTCTCATGCTTTCCTCCACAATGGTCCCCCGCAGCTCCAGTTTTGTGAACCATGTAGCTCCATGTAACTGGTCAAACAGTTCTGGAATCATCTGTATGTAGTCTTGTCTGTTGGTCAGCATGTCTTGTGGGTCCCAGTATTCATCGTGCAGCCTGGCTCTGTCTTGCATCCCAGTACTCGCAGGTTCCCACGACGCCGTGGAGGGACATTCGTAAAAGATCTCATCGTGATCACTGTCTCCAGCCTGCTGAAGCTCAGAGGGCTCTGATTCAGAAAGATCATCGGATCCGTCTGAGCTTGGCTGGTCGGAAGTCTCATCATCTGCTTCTTTCGGGTTAAACACGTCGGCCAGGTCGGAGTATGGGGGCGGCAGTCCGGGGAGCAGGCTCAGGCCTTGTCTTTCCAGCGCGATGCATGGCGGGGGCGGGCGGAAGCAGTTCTGCAGGCAGTAGGGAGAGTGGAAGGTGCAGCGGCCTTTGATCCAGTCCACATCCGGGCTGTGTGTTCGGAGCCAGTTGACGCCTAAGATCACAGAGAAGATGGGCGAAGGAATGATGTCAAATTCGATATACTCGTGGTGGTTCTGGTGAATGCACACCAGGGGTTCGGTGTAGAGCCAGACGGGCTCATCGCCAACCAGTGAGCCGTCCGCAGTTTGGACTTGCTGGGGGTACGTTTTCTCGTAGAGCTCGACATAGTGCTCTTGGGCAAACCGCTCATCCATGAAGTTGGAGCCTGCTCCCGAGTCGACCAGGGCCTGGACTGCAACACTGTGGTAAGGACTCACTCTCACCATGAGCAGGAGGAAGATATGGGCCCTCTCGATGGCCGGATGGACCTCATTGGGCAACCAGCTGTTCACCATCCACTTCTCTGGAGAAGGTGAGTCGATCCAGGTCAGGTTGCGTGGGCGGGCCTCTGGGGGCAGCCTGAGCAGAGCTCTTCTCTCTGCTAGCTTCTCTTCTATTTGCAGGACGAGCACAATCAGACTCTCCAGAGATTCCGGCTGCGGAACTCGGAACAGATAGTGCCTGATGTCTTCATTGAGCCCTTGGCACAGGTGGGCCTGAAGGACTTCATCTGGCCAGCCCAGGATGGGCACCAGACTCTGGAACTCAGCGATGTAGGCTGCGGCAGGACGATTCTTCTGCTTGATGCTGAACATAGCCTCTTCAGCCATTTTCAGCGCCTGCCGGTACTCAAACACATTCGACATGGCCGCCAGGAAGCCTGGGAAATTGTTGATCATAGGACTTTCATTCTGCAGGAGACCCTTGGCCCACTCCAAGGCCAAGCCGGAGAGGTGAGTGATGACGTACCCAATGCGCAGTCGGTCATTGTAGAAGAGTCTTGGGTAGTTCTGTAGGATCAGCTGGCAGAGCACAATGAACTCGCGGTATTCTCTGCGATCACCAGTGAAGGGTAGCGGGAGGGGCAGCTGACCATCATGAAGCCCATTCAACAAGATCTTTTCTGCCACCCTTTGATGTTCTCTGAGGTCTTGCATCTGGTAGTACAGAGAGGTGATGGAACGCACTGCCGCCCGCAACTCTTCCTCAGACCATCTCTGACCTTCTTCTTCCTCCTCCTGCTCCTCATCGCTCCATTCAGACAGGTCAGTGTCGCTGTCTTCCTCGTCATCGTCTCCACATGGTTTGACTGACGGTTCTCCCATCCGACCAGCGGCTTCGTGACGTGGACCCCCCATGGCCTGGCGTGAACCATTGCATGACTCCTCCATGTCTTGGAGTAGGTCATTGGGTGGATCCTCTATTTCCTGATGTGGGCCACTGGATGGCTCCTCCATGTCTTGGAGTAGATCAGTGGGCAGCTCTTCTACTTCCTGGGCGGAGCTACGGGGTGGCTCCTTTCTTTCCTGAGCTGAACCACTAGTTGGCTCCTTCATTAACTGCGCTTGGCTGCCAGATGTCTCCACGGTGGTGTTTGATGAGCCCTCGGAGGACTCCATTTGTTTTGATGATGGATTCTTACGCTCCATCATCGTCTCAAATGAGTCTTCAGAGGGTTCTATCATTTCTTCGGATGGAAAAGAGTAGATTCTGAAGACTGGTAAGGTGTTGGTGTGTCCCCGTCAGCGACTGGGACCACGGAGATCAGAACCTGGGGGTGGGGAGGGCAGGGTGGGAAATAAAGGCAGTAGTTTAGAGTCTCAACAAGGTCTTCAGGGTCTTGTTCGCAAACGTGAGTTCAACTGATCAGAACAGAGAGAAATCGGGTTCGATCGAGGCAGCCTCCTCCACGGGGCCCTTGTGAGAGTCTGTAAAAAGCTGCCAGTCCATGCTCTGGCTCCTGGGCTTTCTCTGCTTGGCCTGCCTGTTTTCCCTGGGGATGTGAGAAATTCACAGCCTATAAATTCTGTGGCATGGTCGCCTGGGCAGACAGGCAGCTGGCAGAGTGTGCCAGTGGCTTCATTTCACACTGACCCACGTGCCTCATGAGTCCTCCTTCTCTTTTTGGACACCTGAAAGCCACAGAGATCACATCTGAATGCAACCCAGAGCCTCCCCTGGCAGCCTGGCATCTGGAGCCAGCCCCATCTCTGTGTTTGTGGAGGCAGGGATCTCCCCCAGAGACGTGATAAAGTACCACTTGGCCTTCTTCCTGCCAGTTGGTTCATCGACCCAAAATAGCTCTTACTTCCTTTCTTGAACTCACAGTAGTAATGTAAGGAGAGAGGCCCAGATTCAGGCGTTTTCTTTTTTCCTTGTTAGAAAGCGCCTGCTGTATGCCGTGTAAGTATCACTTGAGTCTAACTCAGAATTTCTGCTCAATTCTTGGATCCCCTCCTAATGCTCTGAGCAGCTGAGCAGATTTTCCAGCATCCTTCCCACCCCTTCATCTCCGCTCTCCCAGGTCTAAGGGCCTGCAGGGTCTTCAAACACTTGGTTTCTAGCCTACACATGTCTCCATGTTTGTATGTTTTTTTCCTGTCTTTTCTCCAACCTTCCTTAAAAGGTGGGTCTGGGCTCCTCATTTTTGAGCAAAGACCCTTTTCTCTCTGTCACTGATTAGTCGTCCCCCCTCTCTTCCCTCCCCCCTCCCCCACATAGAGGTGTATTGAGCAGAATAGGGTTGGAATCTTGTGTTGGGAGGAGGGAGAGCATGAGATGTATTTGAAATGTGATTATCGGGAAAGGGTTTGATGATGAAGGTACTGAGTGATTTGAGACCTCAGTTTGGGGAGAGGTCTTAGCTGGACTTCCTTACACATTTTTTCTTTTCTTTGGGGGCAGTAGGAAATTGAGTTCTAACTATTAACAAGATTAACTGCATTGTTACTGTTATTTATACATTCAACACCTTTCATTAACCTACCATTCATTCGTTCTTTTAGCCGCCAAGCTGATCTCTGAAAAAAATACAAAACCAAAAAAAACAAAAAAAAACAAAGGCAACCCCCAAAACCATGCATTCCTTTTTGTAAAACTCTTCATTGGCTAAAATCCAAACTCTCCAGCCAGAAACACAATTCTGATCTGTTGTTTCTCAAAATTAAGCACACCCTTGTTATTACTATGACATTTCCATTTGATAAGGATTAAAACCTTTTCTCTGTTTATTTACTGTCTGCAATGTTCAATCCAAACATTTTAGCATAAAGAAATTTGACCTGTGGAACTGACCTGAAACTGGTCTCTGGTTAAAATTGAAAGACTTTATTTATCATAATTGTGAATCCTGATCACATCACTCCTCAGTGTAATAATACATTTTTATTTGTTTATTTATTTTATAGCGTGCTGAATAAGTCTGGTAAAACTCATCATCCCAGCGACATGTACATTAGCATATTACTTATATTAACTCATTTCCTTTCCACGAAAGTCCTAGATGTGTAACGTTAATATTATATTGTAAAATCCGACGCTGTAGGATAAACACTGGACTGTTAACCACAAGGTTGGAGGTTCAAACCCACCAGCCATTCACAGGGTCTCTATGAGTCAGAACTGATGCGACGGCACTTAACAACAACAACAATATAAAGTCTTAATCTCTTAGTGGTGCCTGGTGTGGTGCAGTCAGATAAACTCTGGTCTGCTAACAGTTCGGTGGTTCAAGCTCACCAGTCACACCTCGGAAAAACCCTTGACAGTGTAGCTATGAGTAGAACCGACTCAGTGACACTTACCAACAAAAACAACACATGTGTTAACAACAACAACAACAACAACAACACATGTCTTAACAACAACAACAACAACAACACATGTCTTAAATTTGATCAAGCATTTCATCTGCTGGCTCATCTAGTGGAAGTAAGAATCGCAAGTAAGGTCTGTCACTTTAAAAATCTTTTAATGGCTAAAATTTAAACTCCCTAGCTTGATGATTTAAAAATTAGGTTATTCGCCTTCAAATAGAGTTTAAACTAATTAACATATTTACAAATCTGATACGTAACTCTATATCTTTCAACTTTCTGGTCTTACATCTGAAATCTAATATCTTTGGTTACCAAAACCTTGGTCCTGTAACTCCTAAAATGAAAGCCAAGCTTTTAACAAGATGCATAAAAGTTATCCCCTGATGTCTCGATTGAAAACAGAATTGAAGTTTCTTTCATTGCCTATTATATGAAGTTCCAACCACAGAGCATAAAATAAACATTTTTACCTGGTTATTTTCTTGCAGACTGATCGATATAAAACCAAAAATATCCCTAGGTAACTTCTTAAACTCTTCATTGGCTTAAATCCAAATTTCTTCACTTGATATAAAAAAAAAATTCGATCATGTCATTCCTTAAAATAAAGGTCACAGTTCCTTGCAAGATACGTGAATTTGATCTTGTAACTTCTGCTTAACAGCCGTGCATGATCTCTTAATGACCTGTGGGATCCGGTCCAAGCTCCTCAGCATAGAATACCTATCTTGCTATATAATTTCTCTGCGGAGTGTTTTATCACACACAAAAAATTTTACTACGTCACAGTTTTCAGATCCCTTAATGGCTAGAACCCAAATTCCTTAGCATGGCATAAAAATGCCATCCTGTCATTCCTCAAAAGAATGTCCAAACTTCTTAGCATGTTATGCAAATTCAGTCATAGAACTGCTCGGCAGGCGGAAGACCTGCCCTGTCTCCATGCATCCTGCAATAAAAGATCAAACTGTTTCACGTAAAGTACCGAGGGAATCTTGGTCCCAAGGGACTTGTGGATGCTTATATTTGTCTCCTTCATCAAATCCAGACTTCTTAGCAAAAATAGATTTCACCATCTAAATCTTCTGTAGACAAAACTCCTTAAAACCCTTTATTGGCTAAGATCCATCGACTCCTTTCCATGAGAGTTCAAACATCAGATCGTGCCCTTCCTGTTCTTCAGTGCCTTGAGTTCTCAAGTCAAATCACAGCTTTGTGGCATGCTATAAACATTTCATCATATGATTTTCACCGTGAAAACCCACTCTTTGATCTATGCAAAAATGCTTGCATTTGCTCAACGTTTTCAAATTTTCCTCATTGTCTGTGTCCTAAAGTTCCAACTGGTTAACATGAAACACAACATTTTACCAAGTAATTAATTTTCTAAGTTATAAAAAATAACCCTATGTCTCACTCTGCTATCCCTTTAAGCCAGCCCTTCATTGGCTTAAATCCAACTGTGTTAGTATGATCTAAAAATTTGATCGTGGTCGCCCTTAAAATAAAAGTGACACCTCGCAGCACAACATATAAAATTTCATCTTATAACATAACTATAACTCCCCTCTTAAGATCTAACAATGTTTCTTAATTGCCTTTGAAGTAAAAGTCCAAATTCCTTAGCATAAACCGTGAATTTGATTTTGCAATCTCTCTACATACTCTTGAATTAGACACATGCAAAAAAAAAAGAAAGAAAGAAATCGCACACAGAATGTATCTCAACATGTCACTCCCTTAAAACTTTTTATTGGCTAAAATCAAATTCCTGGACATGTGCAAAATCTCATCATATCAGAACCGCAAAATAGATTGTACTTTTCTTTGCATATTTGCAATGTTGGTCATGTAGTTCCTCTGATTAAAATCTTTCAACTTTGATGTGTTCAACATCCTTCAAATCCTCTTGGCATGTTCAGACTTTGGCACTTCCTCAACATATAAAATGGTTTAGCATGCTACTTAACATTGTGGCTGTTACCCTTCCATTTACAATTTTCCAATTTTTCTTCAGCGCCTATAACCTAACGTCCAAAACGATTAGCCTTAAAATACCATGTTATTTTTTTTACCATATTATTTTCTTATCTCCCACAGGCAAACAATCTTATCACCACGATTCTTAAAACCCCATTGGCGAGTATCCAAACTCCTTAGTATGATATAAAAGTTTGATTCTGTTACTCCTCAAAATAAAGACCAGATTTCTCCTCCTCAAACCCCAAATCTATTTACGAAACTCAACATCTTTTAAAGGTATTTTTATCACGAACACCAAAAAAAATCTCAACCTCTTAACATAGCACCCGAAGGTAATCATGATCTTCTTGGCTTAAAACCTTTCAGCTTTCACACCCGCCACATAAAATCCAAATACCATGAAATGAAAACTGGACCGAGTAGTTCTGATATGGAAAATCTCCATTTTGCTCACCTATTTCTGAAGACTTGAAGCCTTCAGTTCCTTTGCATGAAACTCAACTTTTTAAATACTGTCTCCATTTCTTAGTGTCAATTTCTTGGCCCTCTTAACTTTATAAAGACTGCATGTCTCACTCCCATCTCCAAATCCCATCTTGGTTGTGTCATTTCCATGTCTCTTAAGCTAGTCTGTCTGCCTACATTTCATGAATTCACTCAGCGTCATGTCCTGATTCTTTTTCTGGGCCAGGCACTGTATTAGACTCGCTCCCCAATGCTAAGAGTTGGAGACAACCGTCCATGCAGATCATCGAGGGGAGGCATGAGCACCGTGTCTGCCCATACCAGAAGTGCTAGGCTTGAGGTGAGCACAAGGGATTTGGGGTAAAGAGGGAGGGGGTCTCTCTCCTCTACCTTGTAACCGTCTCCTGGGAATGCCAGAC